TAAGGCAGACTAAAAATTGGAGCCTTCCCCCAAGTTCATCCTATGTGCCTTCGATATAAGGTCTTAGATAGCCAGAGAAACTGGTGGTACCTATTACTGGATGAAGAGAGACAGAGTTGTCTCAAAGTAAAAGATATGCTCGTGCAGGCATCTTCTATACAAGGGAATGCAAGGTTTAAACTCATATCAGTAGTAATCGTCAAATAGGTGAAAAAATCCTGAATTTGCCGAGAAAAAGTACACACAAATCTTGCGATGAATCCTTGACGGTGGATGGAAATGGGCTTGTGTACAGGCAGAGAGAGTGGATAGACAGTCATCTAGCCCGTGTGGATAAAATGAACCAGACGACTTCTGTGGAACTGGAAAACTCGAACCAATCCATCATCAGCGCAACTGGCCAGCCAACCAATCTCCTCTCCATCTTCGCCATCCGCGGTCGGGTTGATCTGATCCACATGCCGATCATCTTGCTCACCTCTTACCACATCGTGACAAGCCTCTTTGAGGGTCGGAGATAAATGAAGAGTAGGAGATAGAAAATGGAGGCGTCGAACTTGTCCTGTTGCCAAGTGACTCCAGTGCGTCGGAAAATAGACTAGACGCCGCCAGCCGGCCCCGTTGCAACCACCAGAAGTGAGAGTGGACATCGGAGACGTGCAGTTGTCCGGTGGCGACCAGACCGTTATCGCAAGGCCGCCCAACTCCAGGCCGACAGCGATTAAATAGGCCCTAGTTTGGGAGGCATTGGTGACAGAGACTGCAGTGACGGCTTGGCTGAAGCAATCCAGACAGTCCACACGATGGGCCGGACAAGTATCTGATGTGGCCGTAGAAAAGTTGGAAAGAGCTTCACTCGACGGGGCCAGCCAAATGCATAGTTTCTTATCACGGGAACCTGTGAAGAAGTAGCTATCGTACAATGGAGGAACAGGCAAGTAGGATTAGGATTAAAAGTTCTACTAATACGATTACTACTACTAATAATAATATTAATAATAATAAAATAATAATTATAATAATTATAATCGGTCTTTATACCAATTATTAAGGAAGATTATTTCCCGATGCAATAATCTGGCAAGCAACAGTAAGAAGGATATGGCCAGTTTCCTCCAGTTACGACTTACAGATCGTCTGGCGACCAGGCACAGGTCCAAATGATCCGTGAATGGGCCATCTCAGATTTGAACGGGCAGTAGCTGAGTTTCCCAAAAAGAGGCCAAGCCGTCTCGGTGGTCCTCTCAGCGGCCCACAGGCTCCAAGTGCGGTCACGTGAAACAGCCAAGAGGTATCGGCCAGAAGGACTGAAGGTCATCTGAGTCACTGTCAACTGGTGATGCACAAGACGCTGTCCAATGGTGATTAAAAATAAGATAAGGTTTGAGGCAAACCTGATGGTAGAAGTGATGCAGCTTATGGGGAAAAGCCATGCAATTGATGTTGGATGAATGGTTTTGAGTAATAAGCAAGTCAACCAAGATGCTATAAAAAAGAATTAAGACCGCCTAAAATAAGATAATTTGTAACCATACGATTATTTTCTTAATGCTTAAAAGGCTGTAAAAATGATGA